AAGTTGTAGAAGTGCTGTTAGCTGAAAGTCAGTGACTTCTCTTATAAAACGGCATTTTTTCCCGGTGTAAACTAAAAATAGTTCAATCCAAAAGTATTGTTTAGTGTAAAACAGGTTGAAGATTAGCAGATAGGCTTTCGATTCATTAAATGGTGAGCCGTTTCCTCTAAAAAGCTGTTTATTCAGCGTAGTGAAGCCTCTCCTCCATTGACATCCATTCAAACAAAATGGCCTCTGGTCTGCTTTCCGTTAGCATTAGCCATTACGCTTTTTTGGCTAAAGGTTGCAGGCTTGCCTTCTAGTGGCTTTGGTAGGTATGGTCACATTTCCTGTTTAGCGATATTTCGTCATTTCAATAGGAACGGGCACAATCAGAAGATTTGTGTGAGGACAACATAGTCCCACACACAGATTTTGCGCAAGCAAATTTGCAGAAAGCTGGTTTTTAACATGACTTCTGTGCGAGCGGTGCTACATGTATCTTTTTTTTTTTGGCCTGAGAAAACTAGCTGAATTTTTGCTAATGTGACCACACCTTGTCAAGAAATAAAGTTATTAAAAATTAACGTCTTAGTCCAAAACATAGGTTGCATCTGAAACCACTTACTCTCTTCAGAATAAGCAATTACTTAACAACCAAAAAACATATGTCCTATATAGTATAAATGTGTGTATTTGTTGCTGGAAACTTTGCATGGTTAGGCACTGTGTTTTACCAAATTTACCAAATGCATATCATTTAGCATATAATTATAATAATGGATAGTATATAAAGTGTTGGGAAGGTTACTCTGGAAATGCAACTGGTTACAGACTACAAGTTACCCTATTTAAAATGTAAAAAGTAAATGTAAAAACGATTTCAATTACTTAACTAATTACAATGGATTACATTTGTAAATTCCTAATGAATGTTTTTAACTGTTAATCATTCTGAAACATTTACAGTAGAGCTCAACACTGCTTACTGTCAGACTTTCAAAATCCTTCATCGCTTCAATTAAGATCATAATTATTACATTTTAAAGCACAGCCACCACAAAATCAGACTTTAGCAGCGCCTTTTACTTTGAGATCGTTCTGAGGTTAAATACAGATTTAAAAACATAAGATATAGTTTAATAGCTATGATACTGTTTTTGAAATCAAATCTTTGCATAGCTACGACAGCAAACACTGGCATCTAACAATGCCTTGGGGGGAAAAAAACAATTATCTTAAAAAATAAAGCATATACATAAATAGCAAATAAAACAAATATCAAATAAGCATATGTCCTAAACTGAATTTGAGCAAAATTTGCGTTGAGAACTTTTCGAAATCACGTGGATTTGTAGAAGTTGTAGAAGTGCTGTTAGCTGAAAGTCAGTGACTTCTCTTATAAAACGGCATTTTTTCCCGGTGTAAACTAAAAATAGTTCAATCCAAAAGTATTGTTTAGTGTAAAACAGGTTGAAGATTAGCAGATAGGCTTTCGATTCATTAAATGGTGAGCCGTTTCCTCTAAAAAGCTGTTTATTCAGCGTAGTGAAGCCTCTCCTCCATTGACATCCATTCAAACAAAATGGCCTCTGGTCTGCTTTCCGTTAGCATTAGCCATTACGCTTTTTTGGCTAAAGGTTGCAGGCTTGCCTTCTAGTGGCTTTGGTAAAGTGTCCATCCATATCTGCCAGAAGTAGTAGGTCATCCTTTTTGTCAACTGTTTTTTTTTGTTTGTTTGTTTTTTTGAAAACTATAAATTCAGACATGCTACTTTTTTGGCATACAGATTTTCGCATACTTAATAGTAGGGAAGTATTAGATCTCGGACTGCGACAGCTTTCCAGCTTATTTTTCTCGTAAGAACGGGTGCGGTCATTTGTAAATTTAATGTGTCTGGCCATCCCGGTCTCATCCGCTTCCAGCTATTTGTTTTTAGCTGGATTTTGCTGCTTGATGATGCAAACTGGTCTGTCTTATGGTGCGTTCAAGTCATGTCGGATAGATTGTATTTACGAGTTGAACGCACATGAACGCCACCACAAAGTCGTTATTACGAGTGGGAAACTCGACATTTTCTTTAAGCCCCGAGTTTCCGAGTTGGGGGCGTGTCAATGAGAAACATGGCGGAATCGATGGATGCAACGTCTGTAGTTGACGGTAAATTTTTGTTTAAATTGATAATTTTTATGAAGTTTTTATGCGATACAGATTAAAGTGGCTTCATAAATTACTTTTTAAAAATATTAAAAACGCAAAACACACCTGATGCGAATTCTTTGCTCTTCATTTTCTATAAGCAGAGTTAACAGACCCTGTTGTATTTTCTTGTAATTTATTAAAAGAAGGTACACCGCCATCTTGTGCCGACTAAACTGACTTGAACGCACCTGACTCGTAAGTACGAACGTCCCAGGAGGACTTGAACTAGACTTGTGCCAGTATTCGGTAATGCGATATATCACGGTCTGTATTATGACAGCACTTAAAAAAAAAACTAAATTTCAATATCGTGATAATACCGCATACCGTGATAAAAGCATTAGCAATTAATCGCAACATGAAAATTTGTTACCGGCATATCCCTAACTTGAACGCAGCATTACTTCCGCGTTGAAAAATAAGGTGGAAATCTGACGTTGCTCCTGTTTGCCCCGCCCACTCAGAAATCTCATTGGTCCAAAATCACGCAACAATATAACTATGCATAACACATGAAATATCCTGATTGTCTGTCTCGTAGCGCAGCTTTGGCAACATAGACAAATAAATTATTTGTTGCTGGAAACTTTCCATTGCTACATGGTGTTAGGACACGGTGTTACATTAATAAGAAATGACATTTTATGGATTTAGCTAATGTTGCATGTAATTATTATAATGAAGTAGTGGAAACAAATCCTATGTTTTCCCCTGTTTCTATTGATTCCAAATGTAAGGCGCATTTGTGCATTGGCTGCAGCAGGTGACAGCGCATGAAAGCACATCATCAGTAACGCACACTAGAGCTCGTGCCCTACCTGAGCGCCACGCGCACTGCGCTCTCGTCCTGTCCGCTTGACATGATTAGATCTGCATCGAGAGCTCGATCCTGGAAGTGCGCAGCAGTGCTCGGCTCATACACGCATCAGCTCTGCCATACCCAGGGCTTTGATGTGCATGCACCCGCTACAGCAGCGATGCATTGCGATCACGCGAGATCATTCGCTCGAATCCCGAGCGCGTCCCGACCTCATCTGATCTTCACGCTCGCTTCATGAAGACCCAGCCGCAATGCGTCACCAAGCCACGCCTCCCCCAAGACCCCTGGAGGGTGACGTCACCACACGCATGCAAATCAGTCTGTTCAGCTTGATATCAGGAGAGACATAATAGCTGTAGGCTCTAGATATTCCAGATTACTCCATATTGTGGGATATATCTGTAGAGATGCACTGATATGCTTCAGACATTTCAGTTAAATTTATTTTGAACCTTTATCTTATTTGGTAGTATTATTAATTATATTTAATATATTTATCATGTAACTGAATTTGTTTTGTTGATATATATATATATATATATAGTATTATTAGTATTGAACAGTAGAGATTATTGGTATGTCATTTATTTATTTTATTATTTTATATAAATAAACATGTAAATACATGTAAATATTTTCAAAATATATACTGTTTGTGTGTGTATTTATATATACATAATAAATATACACCGTATACACATATATTATGCAAACAAAAGCTTTTATTTTGGATGTGATTAATCGCGATTAATCGTTTGACAGCAAATATACATATTTATGCATAAAAAATAATTCCAGCACTTAAAGCCTTTATATATAATGCTTCTTAAAGGTATTCTTAATGTATGTTGTAATGCATTATATCTTTTCATAAATCATTGTAACCAAAGTTAAAATGCATTATGATATTTAAAGGTTTGTGTGTTATGTGTTTTAATGCATTATACTTTTTAAAAGTGTAGCAATGAATAGATAAGTATTATAATTTATCATAACTGTGGATACAATTATTCATGAAATCATAAAATGTATTATAAGGATCATTACATAAAGCATAAACTGTTACCAAATAAAAATATCATATATACCATAAAAAAACATATTCTGTACATTAGCATTATGTGTTTTGTGCTCATGCTGTATCTGATGCAGTGGTGTTGTGCGCTCTCGTGTGGTAATGCTTTGATTTTCATCACATCTGTTTTCGAAGCATTCCAACATTACGATAAAATAGCACTGGTTTATTTCATCTGCATTGAAATATTAACTTAAGCACATGTTTTTCAGGCCGATGGGAAAATCTTTCCACAGTAAGGGGGTCTGGGGCAGTGTACTGTAGTAAAAACAGTTTCCTTCAACTCAATGCACTTCAGCTGGAATTGAGTGTGAGAGCATAACAGTGCAGCTAACAGAGGTGAAACAGTTCAGCACTGGAGCTCGAGTGTCTTGACCTCCTGCCAAACTGCAGTGTCCAGTTACTCGCTCTCACATTACCCGAGCGGCCCACAGCAGAGGCACACACTCAAGTACAGTATACAGGACACTTTCTACCAGTGTACAGTGCACTTCAGTGTCCCCTCACCTTTGAGACACACTAGAGACACTAACCCAGTGTTGGTTGTGAGAAAACCAATGCACTTACGCACACACACACAGGATGATTGTTCTTCTCTTGCTTCCTAATCTAGTACACATGGCATTGCATATTACGAATGACTGTTTGACGAAGCACTTTTGTGAGTCACTTTGGATAAAAGTGCCTGCTAAATGTATAAATGTAAACATAAAATAAGCCTAGTGTGAAAACATTGGTCATTTTAAGCAAATTAAATAAAATCTAATAAAACAGATTTTCACAAAATATTTTGTATGAGAAGTTGGTGGGTCAGTGCTCTGCTCTGGGCTAAATGAGGGGTACAGAGGTCAAAGAGGGTCGGATCGGGACAGGACTGAACAGGTTTCAGCCTGACGGAGCCGAGACCACCAAACTCTACAAGAGACTGACACAACCAGCTTAAGAACCATTCAGAAACATTTATTCATCTGAAAATGTACAAATACAGCATTTATCAGCAGCAACTTCAACTTCATAGAGTCTTCTCAGGAACAATAGTTAAAGGGTTAGTTCACCCAAAAATGAAAATGCTGTCATTAATTACTCACCCTCGTGTTGTTCCAAACCCGTAAGACCTTCGTTCATCTTCGGAGCACAATTTAAGATATTTTTGATGAAATCTGAGAGCTCTCTGACCCGCCCATAGACAGCAAGGTAACTACCAAGATATTCAAGGTCCAGAAAAGTACCAAGATGATCGACAAAGTAGTCCGTGTGACATCAGTGGTTCAACTGTAAAGTTACGAAGCTACAAGAAAACTTTTTTGCGCAAAGAAAACAAAAATAACGACTTTATTCCGCATTTTCGTCTCACTTTGGACGCGTGTTCACGACAGTATCATGACGGACTACTTTGTCGATCATCTTGGTACTTTTCTGGACCTTGAACGTGGTAGTTACCTTGCTGTCTATGGGAGGGTCAGAGAGCCCTCAGATTTCATCAAAAATATCTTAATTTGTGTTCCGAAGATGGACGAAGGTCTTACGGGTTTGGAACAACACGAGGGTGAGTAATTAATGACAGAGTTTAAATTTTTAGGTGAACTAACCCTTTAAATATTGAAATGGCTAAACTGCCTCAATGATTGACTGTGAGTATCGTGTCTTTCGGTTTATATTGAGAACCCCAGAAGCAAAAGTAACAAATTAATCTAATTTGATGCATGTACCAAAACCTACTTTTGAAACCCAGAAGAAAAAAGAAGAACTGTATAGAAACTTTTGATTTGAAACAATTAAGTGTGAAACAAATTTCAATAAATACAAAGAAACAGCACGTAACACACTGAATTAAACACAACTAGTGCTGTCAAACAATTAATTAATCGCATCCATTATTGACACAATTGCGGTTTTAAAACATGAGTCAACTTGAACGTTGAATCTCTGGAATGGCAACCACAGCATCCCTCACACCATGAATCATCTTCATCAGTGTCTATTCATCATCAGTAACGTCTTCATCAGAGCGGCAGTTTCCTCCGTTTACCCGGATGTAATGAACGCTCTGACTGCCGCCGGCTCCACAGCTGCACAGCTGTCTCCCGAACAGAGACTCCATCTCCTCCAGACGCAGACCCTTGGTCTCCGGCAGACAGCCCACCACAAACACAAAGCCCAGCAGAGCCAGACCGGAGTACAGGAAGAACGCACCTGGACAAAGGAGACATTCACACTGAAATAAATAGAAAATAATCTCATCTATAAACACATTTCAGCAATAGTCCCCATACAAGTATAGATCACATTCTGTTTATTTATTAGATGATTGTTAAATTGTGGTGTTTGCTAAGTCAATAACCTGGCTGGTCTTAGCTGGTTTAAGCTGGAAATAGCTGGTTGGTCAGCTTGTCTCCCAGCCTGGCCAGCTAAAGAAATGGTCAAAACCCTCTAAAACCAGCCTGCAAACCAGTTATGACCAGGCTGGAAGTCCAGCTAAAACCAGCTTAGCCTGGTTTTTCAGCTTAGGCTTTTTTCCCCTGCAGGGAAGCATCATTACTAAAATTAGAGTAAGTGATATGAACAAACCCCTAAACCTATGTATTAAACTTTGGCGAGTACAGCATCATTTGTGCTATGGCTATAAATTATCCATGAACAACCACCTAAAACACCCCAGCAACCCCAAAACAACACCCTATTAACCACTCAGAACACCCAAGGAACCACTCTGAACTATTTAATAACTGCATAGTAGCTCACAAAAAACACTCAAAACACCTTAGTAACAATTCAGCCAGAAAAGCCTAACTACCTAGCAACCGTAGAGCAACATGCTAGCAACCACTCAAACACCCCATTCAAGAGCATAGCAACTACTCAAAATATCCTAATTGAATTAAATGACAACAAGCTTAAAGCACTTTAGTAACCAGAACCACCCACCTAGAATGACACAAATGCTACTATAGCAACCACACAGAAACACCTTATCAATCACTATGAACATGCAATGAACCACCCAAAACAAAAACACCTAGAACTAAAACTCTAAAAACTGCATAGCAATGTACATAAAACTTGCAGAACACCTAATAAACCATTTAAGTAGAACAAACAAGCACCAACATAGCAAGTCCCAAGCTACTGCAAAGCACAATCACCTGAACACCATCAATGGCGTAGCAACTACCCAGAACAACCTAACAGCTGAATGACAACATACTTAAAAACACATGAGCCCCAAAGCAACTCTAGCAACAACCCGAACACTGAAGCAGCTGCATAGCAACACCGTATCAACCACTCAGATCAACCAAGAAACCACAGAACAACTAGAACACCCTAGCAATTGCAAAGCAAGCAAGCAACCACCTGAACACATTATCAACAGCATAGCAACTACTCAAAACCACCTAGCAACTGCATGACAACAACTTTAGCAATGCCCAACCCCAAAGCAACACCCTAGCAACCAGCCAAACACTCTAGCAACCACATTATAGCAACACACGACCAACCACTCAGAGCACCCAAGCAACAATCCAGAACAACCTAGAAAACTGCATGGCAGCATACACGTAACACCTTAGCAACCACCTAACTATAACACCCTAGCAACCGCAAAGCAACATGCTAGCTATCCCCCAAACAATCATCAACTGCATAGCAACTACCCAGAACAACCTAGCAACTGCATGACAACATGTTAAACACTCAGAACACCTTAATAACCTTAAAAGTGCCTGACAAACACACAGGACACCCTAGCAACGACAAAATAATGCCCTAGCAACCTCCCAAGCCAACCCAGCAACCACATAACAACATACATTCAAGCAACCCTAACAATGCCCTGGAAACCACACAGAATAGCCAAGCAACCACCCAGAACAATTTAAAAACTGCATAACAGCACACCAAAAAAAAAACTCAAAACACCTTAGTAACAACTCGGCTAGAATAGCCTAGCAACTCCCCTAGCAACTACAGAGCAACCAAAAAAACTGCATAGCAACATATACCTAACACCTTAACAACCGCCGTGCAACCACATAATTCCCTAGCAACTGCAATGCGACCCAGAACCAGAACAACCTAGTAGCTGTATAACAACATGTTTATAAACACTCAGAACATCTTAACAACCTTATAAATTCCATGACAAACACAAAGGACACCCTAGCAAATACAAAATAATGCTCTAGCACCAACAGCACCCAAGCCACCACCCAAACCAACCCAGCAACCACATAATAACACACATTCAAGCAACACTAGCAATGCCCTGGAAACCACACAAAACATCCAAGCTACAACCTAGAACAATATAGAAAACTGCATATAAACATACACCAAACACGTTAGCAACCAACCCAACAACAACACCCTAGCAACCACATAACAACTCCCTAGCAACTGCAAAGCAACATGCAATAAACACCTGAACATAGGCCTGGGGCCCGTTCTTCGTACGTCGCTAACTCAGTTAGCTGGATTTCATCGTTGACGATTTGGCATGATCTTGGATTGTTTGGTTCTTTGAAGCTCATCCCGGAGTTGCTGTCATAGCAACAGGTCCGTAAGCTTAAACCTGCTCGGGAGCAGGCTTATTTCATGTAATCAGGATTAGATTGCATCTTTTTAAGCAGAATTGATACTTAAAATCTGTCCGTTACCAACGCTACTTTATTACAAGAGTACCCTACTAATCCAGGGACAATAATTTAAAATAATAATCATTTAAAAATTAATTTAAAGATAATATAATAATGTTGTGTAGTCTTTAATACTATAGACACAGCCAGTTTTACTCACTGAAAGATTTATTCGTCATAAAATTATTACTTCATAATTGTATTCGAGTCTTACACACATGCTATACAGATAATGTAGAGTTGTGCATTAATTTGAGTGGTGACAGCTATTATGGGAGTGGCTTGTAGTTAAAACAGTTTAAACTTTTAGAAAACACATCACGAATTTGTGGAGGTTTATTCCTTTTCACTGCATCTCATATGTTTTTAAATGTAATCTGTGTGAATGGTGCTTCGGCTCTTTGGATTAAGCAATGCATAAATACATGATGCTGTTTTGTTCATAATTGTTAATACAATTTACGAAATTATATTATTACGAGTTAATTTAGACGTAATCCACATTTTTATAGAGGTACTTCCTTGCGTTGACAATTTAAATGCGCTGCATTATTTTGCTCATTGCGCCCTCCTGTGGCCTCGGGAGACAATTAGACCTATACAATAAAGACCTATTTAATCTGCATATAAAACATTAGAAATTAGATATTTGTTTAATTTTTATTGTGTTTGTTAAAACAAAAATATTGTTATTTATAAATACAGTGGTTAAATAAAAAATAAAAAAATTCTATTGCTTTTTGTTTTAAAAAAGGTTATAAAAAATTTCAATAATTATCGATACCGAACGATATGAAACATTATATCGTTGATAAATTTTTTAGCTATATCGCCCAGCCCTACCTGAACACCCATCAACTGCATAGCAACTACCCAGAACAACCTAGCAACTGCATGATAACATACTTAAAAAGAACCACCTAACTAGAACACCAACTGTAAAACAACCCTCTAGCAACCACCCAAACACCCCATCAACTGCACAGCTACCCAGAACAACCTAGCAACTGCATAGCAACCACCTAGTGATTTTAGCTGCTGATGGAATCTGTATAGCACATAAACACTGTTATGGTGTTCAGGGTTGTGTGTGTGTACTGTGATGTACCGTAGTATGTCAGGTACTGGGCCACATGGAGGAAGGTCAGAGACACAAGGACGTTACAGATCCAGTTGACCCCGGCAGAGCAGGCGTTCCCTGTGCTCCGAGCCCACAGCGGATAGATCTCAGAGTTCACCGTCCACGGCATAGGACCCATACCTGCTCCAACACACAACCTGACATCAGGCTTTATGATCATTAACGGCTACTTTAAGCTCCAATGAACTGAGAAAACTCTCACCTGGAGCAAAGGCGGCCAGATACAGAACGAGACCCAGCAGAACAATCCAGGAGTAAGATGTTGGGCAGTAGTTAAAGGCCCAGAATACACCTGCACTCTCCTGCGTGCCATTGGAACACCTCAATAAGACAAGACTTAATCAAACTTTTAGGTTAACATTTACATTTAGCAAACATTTTTAATAAATCATTTGCAAAGAAGTGCACTGTAGCATACTTTTAAAAATAGTAAAAAAAAAAAAAAATGCTAAAGTATGGAAATTGACACCTAGCTGTTGAAATGGGCACTGCAGTGCAAATTCAAAATACTGGAGAGAGTTGTTTCTCCCGCCACCTCCTCCTCAGACTCAACACTCACGAGGGTTGCCAGATTGAAGACACGTTACAGGAATGAGCGCATATGACAATGGAAGGCAACGAACCTTTGTTCGTTTGCTGGCTTCCATGGCTACAATATGCTGTGTTTCCCGCCAACTGGCAACCCGGGGTGTCTAAATATTATTGAGTAAATTGACATACAGACCAAAAAATTCCATACAGAGCCTTTAAATGCAATTAGCTGAACTTAAGAGTGTTTTTACCTATAATTGTACTTTTGTAATGATGAAATAAATAAATGTAATTTCAAAACTGTACTTTAAAGCATGACAAAATATTATAAAAACAGTGATTTAACTTTTACTTTACAGAGCAGGTCATATGGGTTTTCGAAAAATATTTGTTTTGCTTTTTGTAACGTAGCTATCCTTCAATGTAAACAGTCTGCAAAGTTGTTAATCAAAAAAGTGCATGATAAATAAAGATATTGTCTCTCAAAAGAAAGAATTGACTCTGAACTGCCTTAACGAGTCGTCATATTTTCGAATCTTCTACCTGTTACCGATATATGTCACTAGGTAACACATTTGCATAATACCCGCCTTGTTGTGTGCTCGTCATTTTACCGAGGACTGCTTCTCTAATCTTGCCGATTTCAACGCGGGATTTGCTAAACGCTTGTCCATGAAAGATAAGTCCGTACCTATTACTTATTAAGTCCGTACTTATATAAGATTATATTGGATTGTTTATATTCGAATTCTTGATATCAGCAATTAAATTTCAACTAGTAAAAAATATTATTCTTGATATCAAGAATGTATATCCTGGGAATGGCAATAGGCAAGCCGTTTTGACTTTTATTCATTCGCAGGATATGAATTCTTGATATCAACAATTCAATTTTCACTAGTTAAAATGCTAATTCTTGATATCAGGAATTAGATTTGTACTAGTAACAATTGTAATTTTTGATATCAACAATTCAATTTTCACTAGTAAAAATGTCAGCTTTGTATTTCTTACTAGTAGAAATATAATTTTTGATATCAAATTACATTTTTACTAGTAAAAAATGTGAATTGATATCAAGAATTCATTGTCACTAGTTGAAATGTTAATTCTTGATAGCAATTCAATTGTAGACATCTGTACTAGAAACCATGTGATAACTGATATCAAAAATACTAGTGTGACTAGTAAGAATTGTATTTCTGATATGTGAAATTGTAAATTCTTAAACTAGTAAGAAATCAATTCTTGATATCAACAATTAAATTTGAATGGCAGCCTATGGTGACAATAATTTGCATTTTAACTAGTGAAAATTGAATTGTTGATATCAAGAATTAACATTGTTACTAGTGGAAATGTAATTCCTGATATCAAAAATAGCCATTGTTACTAGTAGAAATCCAATTCCTGATATCAAGAATTAACATTTTAACTAGTGAAAATTGAATTGTTGATATCAAGAATTCATATCCTGTGAAGGAATAAAAGTCAAAACGGCTTGCCATGCACCTCCGAACCACAACCTGTAAGTACGATTGATACGTTATGTGTAGATTTTCAACTGAGTGCTCAAAATATCAAGTTCCCTTCCGAGGGAACTTCGAACTGTGTCCTCTAGAGGTCGCTATTGGGAATGCCTTCAGCGTGACCGGTGTCTGAAGCATACATCTAAACACGACAATAACATTGGCAGTCGACAGCCTGTGACGTCATCACCACAGAATAAAAGGGCGCCGGAAGAACACGTCATCCTCTTCTTCATCGTCAAGGACAGTTTTGTTTGAAGCGTGCATTTCCGGTAAAAAACAATTACACTTCTTTACCATGGCGAGCACTAGTACGGCGTTTAAGAAGTGTGTGGATCCGTGTCCTCGTTATTTGACACCTGATGACACACACAATCTTTGCGTCTTTTGTTTGGGCGAAGAGCATGAGCGCAATGTCCTCGAGGGGGCAGTTTGCGTGCACTGTGAGCATTTTCCTATGAAAAAGCTCCACTCTCGTTTGTCTCTCTTTTCGAGGAAAGAGGGACAGCCATCCACTCCCCATGGTTCAGGACCCTCCGCTGCTGAGGCACGGAGGAAAATGAGCTCGTGGGGATCGCAGGTGGACTTGGCTGATGAGTTGAAAAAGGGTCTTTCCCTTTCTTGCTCATCAGTCACGGACGAGAGTGAGCTGCTGGACGACGATGCTATCTCTCTTACATCGTCTGATCCAGCGGCTAGTGCTCTGCTGGCTCCAAGCCAGGATGAGCAGGAGATGTCAGATGAGGACGAAGAAGTTGAGACTGAGTCCTCCCAATCCTTCTGCCCCTCGTATGATGAGCTGCTTGAGGTTATGGATCGCGCCACGGCGAGGCTTGACTTGCCGCGGAAGCGGGCCAAGAAGGTGATGCCTCGAGGCCGCCTCGATGAGCGTTTTCTTTCTAGCTGAGTTGAAAAAGGGTCTTTCCCTTTCTTGCTCATCAGTCACGGACGAGAGTGAGCTGCTGGACGACGATGCTATCTCTCTTACATCGTCTGATCCAGCGGCTAGTGCTCTGCTGACTCAAAGCCAGGATGAGCAGGAGATATCAGATGACGACGAAGAAGTTGAGATTGAGTCCTCCCAATCCTCCTGCCCCACGTATGATGAGCTGCTTGAGGTTATGGATCGCGCCACGGCGAGGCTTGACTTGCCGCGGAAGCGGGCCAAGAAGGTGATGCCTCGAGGCCGCCTCGATGAGCGTTTTCTTTCTAGCCATAGCCCTCCAGCTCAGGTGAGCCTTCTATTTCTTCCCGATCTCCATGTGGTCGAGAAGTTTAAGGAGGCCAAGATGCGATCGGCTCCCTTTAAATCCTTCATTCCACGAAGGACCAGGATCAAGGAAGGTCTTTGATCTAAGGATCAAAGGTGGGCTCAGAAGACTAGTGTCGCAACTCACGCCCCTCCCCCGCCTGCAGGGTAGGGCTCAAAAGGGGCGTGGGTCAAAGGGTGACAGGCAAGATTTGAGGGAGGTGATCCAGACTAGGCATTCTCAACGCTCTCGTCTGGACCAGAGTAAAACCTGAGCCATCTACTCACCTCCCTCTGAGAGTATTTACATCTGCTCTCATCTCTGGACCAGAAACCTGAGCCATCTACTCACCTCCCTCTGAGAGTATTTACATCTGCTCTCATCTTCCTCCCCTTAATTCCCCTAAAAAGCTTCCCTCCTAACTGAGGTTAGGTAGGAGGCTCCTGCACTTGCATTGCAGTCTCTTATGCTGGACCTATGAGCTTTTGGCTAGTTTCTATGTCTCATAGAACTACCTACTGATGGTCCGGACCCCAGTGCTCTTCGGACTTCGCCTCCAGCCTATATCCATGAGCCTGAGTCATGCGCGGGAGCCATGGTTGGTGAGTACGATCCATTTCATCTACTCTATTGCTAGTTTTTGTGTATTCAATACTAGCCTTTCTCGGCAGCGCTACTCGGACCCGTTCTGTTTTCGGACTTTTTAGGTTTGACCCCCCCCTGCTAAGTCAGAACCTCCTGCTGTTGACTGATTATAGTGAGGGTTTCACCCATCGGTACTGGATCCAGGCTGGTGATAGCCCTCATCTTCGGATTCTGCGGAAGCCTCCCAGCGTCAGGTCCCCAGTATAACATTGCAACCTCAGGACCTGTGGGTCCTCCTCGCAGCATGCTCCCTATCCTCTGGCCAGGGTGCGCTACTTATCTCTCACCCTGAGGGGTCTCCTGAGATTTCTTTCCTTAACCATCATGCACATTCTCTGAGCTAGAGCTCCTCTCGCTGAGGCGTTGAGTGGCTCAACACTCCTTAATTCCACTCTGCAGTTTGAAAGACGGTCAGGCCCACGGGTCCTCCCTGTCACACTGCCCTTATGGTCGAACCAGTAATCGCTCTGGTTATACGGGACCCACGCTCTCTATCGAGATGAGACTGTGTCCAGCTGCACCAGCTGACTGTCTCTTATTGGGCCCTGCTGGGTTAACCCTTCTAATCTAGCGCCGCCTTCTGGGCGAGCTGAGAAGTGCTCCCCTCACTGTGAGGGTTAGCTATGAGTTGCTCCCAGTATGTGCTGTAAGGGCCCGCGTGAGCTTGAGAGCCGAAAGCGCTGCTCCCGAAAACTCCATTTGCAACGAAACTGAGTTGTTAGGCCCGTCTCTGTCGCCTCCTTGGTCAGTTGCCTCTATCTTGGGACCCTGTTGTTCCCTGTAGAAGTGTGTGATCCCCTTCTAGCAGGATCCCATTTCGGATGTCCCATTTGCGATCTATCTGCTCCCCGGACATGGCTGTGCTCCCCTCTTGCGGGAGGGTCCTTTTGAGCTCGCCGGTCCTGGGCAGACTGTCTGAGTCCTCCTCTCGACTTGAGAGCTAGGTCCTCTGACGCTGGGCTATTGATCGCTTCGGTCGAGCTGGGTTCTGCTCTCTCCTCGCTAGGGGTTGAACCCTCCAATCTTGAGCTCCATGGCAGTGACATCAGGTAGTTGGGCCGCTTGCTGCCTCCCTGATAAGCTGCCTCTATTTGGGTCAAGCCAGGCAGTGCTCTCCTCACCTCGGAGGATTGTCTTTGAGCCTGCCGCTCCTGATTGAGCGTCGGAGGACTTTTCTCTTCGAGTTCTCCACTCGTTTGAGCTCCATTGAGTATCAGCCTCAGGTTGGGTAGGCCTCTCTAGTTTGGTTTTTTAGACACCTGGACGTATCCCCTTACAGGAATCTCTTTCTTCTGATTCGAAGCCTTGAGCTCTGCCCTAGGCCTGGGCTTCCCAGCCCAGCCTTTAACAGGTAAGTTATTTTAGGGTATGCAGCTCAGGCCCTTGGCCGGAGGGGATAATGTCACTGACAGCCGTCAAGGCGTCCTTGGGGCAACTCCCATGGCTATGGTAGAGTTGGTACTTATTGCTCACCGTGGTTTCTGGCATGCACTCCCCTCAGCATGCCGGCATGGGTATACCGTTCCCCATAGCGACCTCTAGAGGACGCAGTTCGAAGTTCCCTCGGAAGGGAACGTCTCAGGTTACGTATGTAACCATGGTTCCCTGAGAAGGGAACGAGACACTGCGTCCTGTAGTTCCCTTGCCATGCTTCGAATGCAAGCTTCAGACGAAGAAGCAGATGACGTGTTCTCTCGGCGCCCTTTTATACTGTGGTCACGCCGGTTGATGACGTCACAGGCTGTCGCCGGCCAATGTTATTGTCGTGTTTAGATGTATGCTTCAGACACCGGTCACACTGAAGG